GTCAAATATGACCAATCTGTCATATTTGTCAACTAAATCAGATGATCGCCGCAGTTACAGATCACGGCTTCAACGTTCCCCTTCCGAACAGAGAATGTGGGATTTACCGTCTCCAGGTATGTGACTTTGTTTTCGAATTTCTTCATTGGAGAATTTATCTTGTAATTGCATTTCACTTTTGGAGGCCAACTTATGATGTACGTCCAAAGAAGGGCTACAGCATCTCACAGGGTGATGACAAGAATTGAACGAGCAGATGGTGGAGTCATCTCCTTGCCCTTGTGGCCATAAGGCCTTACAACTCCGTTCCAACCTGCATAAAATAATGTTTTGTTTAATCACAAATGATACCCTCTAGCTTTCAAAATCCAAGGTTTTCTTTTATTATTTCCCAAGACAGCCCATGATCAATTAAACTACAGTCAGAACGAATATTAGATATATCGAATTTCACATAACGATTTTTTAAAACTTTGTCTTTATGAATGTATATAAAAATCGTTATAACAAACAATGACATATTGAATTTTTTTCAGTAAACTAGAGAGTTTGTTATATCAAGTTCTGACTGTACTCCCATTTTACTTTTTTTTCATGTAAAATTCACCTGTAAGGATCTATGAATTCCGTTATTATCATTCTCATCCATGGTTCATGTAGTTTGTTAAGCCAGTCGTAGGGGTAATAGAAATTAGTAAATAAAAAATAAAAATAAACAAAAAAAGTGCAACCAAATTTATTCTAGCTTGTTATTTCCATTTAACTAATTACTAAGCAAATTTTATACCCACGATCATGAGACGAATTTTATTACACTGCGGCATAACAATAATAATTGAAATTTGAGATTGGGATCATAGCTTCTGGAATCACATATCATCAAGTGATAGGGCGATAAATACGAATTTTAAGCAAACAGTACTAACCCGCTGAACATGATAACATGACATAATCGATAACAACATACTTTTTAATTCATTCTGCATCACATTTCTTTTAAATCAAAATGTTCTTTTATTTATATTTTATGTTAAAAACGATAGTAGAGGTAAGTAGAAGGTTTATATTTTAAAAGCAATTTTATTAATAATTAACTCAGACGTAAATAAGGTATTGACTCAATTGTCGTCGCTCTATACGATCAGAAACGTATTTTATTTACGGTTTCGTTTTATTTACAATATTAATGAGAAGTGAAATACTAAACTAAAGTATTATATAATTCCTTTATTTAGGAGCACATTCTTCATCTCAAGCGCCCGAAAATAATGAACAAATAAAACAATTATTAATAATTGTAACAAATTTTAAAAAGAAAGTTTCGATTTCTCTTAAAAATTAAAAATAATTTTGATAAATGCCGTATTTTAATGTTATTTCTTTTAAATAAACACATAGATATAATTCAAGATATTTTAAGTGGAAAGAATCAACTTCATTTTCTTCATGTCAATGATATACATACATCTTCCAAAAAAAACTGAGATGATACATTTTTGTAAAAAAAAAGATACATAGCATAGCAAAAATTAAATGTATATTACATTGCAGCACATATTTGTTGAAATGCAAATAAAAATTACATTGTCAAATATTTTTTTCTTTTAAACAAAACAAAAATTATAAATTAAAATTATGATTAGTAAAATTTCTTTATATTTTCATTTTCATGTTAATCTATTTGTTATTTAAGATTGAGCCATTTACTCCTGTAGGACGATATGCTCATTCATCTGTCCTTGCTAGAAATAAACTTTATTTTTTTGGTGGTTACATTGATAAATGTTCAAATGAAGTATTTTATTTTGATTTATCTTGACCGTGGAATGATCTTACGCCAAATGCCAGAATACCATTTAGAAGTTGCTGGGTAACTTTTTCATTAAATGATAAGGAACAAATTATTTATTCATTTGGTGGGATTATGTTAATGATATAAATCAAGATGCTTCTGCATCAAGTATTTATTCATTGATTTTAAATTCCTTATCATGGAACATACCTAAAAGAGGCAGAAATATACAGAGTGTTGTTAGCTTAAACGGTTCGTCGTTAAGTTAACTAAGATTATTTGCTAACAGGGAGTTTAAGTGCGTCTAAACTAT